TTTTCTGAGGCTGTAGATAACATGGGAGGAAATTGCCTGTCACTTTTCCAAGGAGTGGGCTGTTGAATTTTGAACCGCCAAAGAGATTGTGGTTTGGGTTAGCAGCACAATTTCCTGTGAGCTTTATCACTAGAAAAAAAGATAGTAGAATAACCAGATTGAGAGGGATACAAAAGATGGGAGAATCAGAATAGAAAGTAAAAAATGAGGAAAAAGAGAGAAAGAAAGAGATGTCTGGTGAGAGAAAGGAAAGAAAAACTAGAGAGCAGAGAAGGTGATGAAGAAATGGGGTGGTGGGAAACACCAAAACCTCAACAATAACAGGAAAATATAAAAATCAAACAAGCAAATGAAATTTAAGAAGTCATGGGAAATTAGTAACCAGAGAAAAGGGAGGGCTTCTGGAGGTGATGCATGCACCTGATTGATGAGTAAAAGGCAGGATGTTTGATCAGTTTGCCTGCCAGTCCAACAGAAGTTTATAGCTAGTTCATCAGAAGTTCCCAGTCAGGTCAGAGTTTCTACTCATTTGAGAGGCAGACTTAGACTCTAAGATTCAACTTGTGCTAAAGGCAGCACCTTTTCTGATCAAAAGGTGGGGCTCTCAGCCTGGAATGGAGCTGGATAACGAGAAAAGATAGCCACTGTCAATTTGAGTTGTGCGAGGAAGGCACTCTTCACGTATGTGTTCGTGCACATTATTCTAGATAAGACTGTGGAATGTAAAAAACAGGGTATCCCCAAGGGTGATCTCAAAACATGACGTCAATCAAAAGTAGTGCCCCACCATTTCAGTATCTTGTTGCAGGTCAGGCATGGCAAAGTTTTTCTGTTTCCCTAAGGGATGTGTACACTCCCGGGGCCAGGTAAAAAAAGGCATAGGCCTGGCCTCTGTGGTTCTTAAGCCTTTAAAGGAAGAGTCAGCTCTACTTTGTCTCAAGGAACAACTGGCGGAATTCAGCTTCTGAGTTTTCACTCAGAAACCTCACATCTTACACACTGTACCAACAGGGCTTTACAGTAGCAGTTTTAAAACTAAAAATCTTTGCTTCAAAGACAATCTTACTGTGTCTTAATAAAAAAAGTCTGGCTGTAAACAATTTTTTTGTCTGGTTTTTAGTATGTAGAAGTCATACATAATAAAATGCTTCACATAATAAAATGTGAAATAATTCTATATTTCTGTCATATGAGCAAGAAATGTCTCTTAGCCAAAAATAACATCGAATTATATAAAGGGCTGCACCCTTTATTGATACTTGTTGCTTCTATATGCTGAGCAAATAATTTGAGAAGCTGGACTTTATGATCAGGAAGATTCATCAAAAACCCGTGTTAATGAGGTTGAGAGAACCTTACTTGCTGAAAGTGAAGAGGATAAAGGACTTGTTACAAGACTTCAGTATGGATTATATCTCAACATCAGCAAAAATCGGCTACATCATGATTGATGAAGAAAAGATTGAAATTATTAACAGTTCTGTCTTGCTGGGATCCACAGTCAACATCCTTGATAACAGCAGTCAAAAAATATAGAAGTTAGGGGAGCTCTGGTGGCCTAGTGGCAAGGAGCTGCAACCACAATCCCAGAGGCTCACGGTTCGAATCCACCAGATGCTCTGCTGGGGAAGGAGGGACAATCCTCCTGTACCAGTCAGATCTGATTTGACGGTACACTCACACAAAAATTTTTTAAAAAAAAATATAGAAGTTATGTTGCATTGAGCAAGTTGCTATCAAGGACCTCTCCAAAGTACTCCAGAGTGCAAAGAGCAGTGGAGTTAAAGACTAAAGTGCACCTGGCTCAAGCCATGATCTTTTTAGTTACTTGTTATGCATCTGACTCTGACAGTGACAAAAGATGAGAGAATTGTTACCTTTGAACTATGGTGTTGGAGGAGTTACTGCTATAGGGACCATTAAGTTGCATGGACTCATAGTGACCCTGTGAACACTAGGTCTGAAACATGCCTTATCCTGTGTCATCCTCATTATCTCTGCTACACTAGAGCCCATTTCTACAGTCACTGTGTCAGTTCTTCTTGTCTGGAGTCTTATAACCCTCCACTTTGCAGATCATGATGTTTTTCTCCAAGGACTGACTGACTCCTAACAACGTGCCCAGAGTATGCAAGGTGAATTTTCAGTATCCTTCCCTCTAAGGAGCATCCTGGCTGCACTTTCTCCAAGATATATTTTTCTCTTGGCTGTACATGGAATGTTCAGTGCTCTTCTCAAGCTCCAAAATTCAAAGGCATTGATGATTCTTTTGTCATCTTTATTCATTGTTCCAACTCTCAAATGCATAGCAAATAATTGAAGGAACTGTTACTTGGATCAAGCATATCGTAGTTTTTAAACTGACATCCTTGCTCTTCAGCACTTTGGAGAGGTCCCAGACTTAAGACTTGCCCAGTGTAACATGTCTTTTGATTTTTTGCATGCTGGTACCAAAGTTGTTGATTGTGGATCTAAATAAGAGTATTAATTAATCATTGACAATTTTTATATTTTCTCCTCTCATGATGTTGCCTGTTGGCCCAGTGCAAGACTACTAAGTAGCCCATGAACTCTCAAGAGAACAAAAGCATTTTAGAGAAAGTACAGCCAGAGGTGAGACAGGTGAAACTTCATCTCATGTATTTTGGACATGTAGTTAGGAAGGACTGGTCCTTGGAAAAGGATCTCATGCTTGGAATGGTGGAAAGTCAGAAAGAGAAGATGACCTTCAACAAGAAAGATTGATGCAGTGACTGAAACAGTAGACTCAAGTATATGAGAGGGTGAGGATGGCACAAACTAAAGCAAGGTTCAGATCTTTTGTTCATGGAATCACTATGTGTTGTACTCAAGAGCAACTAAAGACAATGGTTTTTGGTTTTGTTTTTTTTTTTTTAAAGATAACATTGTGACATTCAAAACTACAACCAGAGTTCATTGTATTTTCAAAAGAAAAATCTGAAAATTAGGTATGATTGCCAATTCAAAGTTTTTATACTTGTGTGACATTTCACATTTTCAAAAATAGTAAGAAAATATGTTTTCTCATAATTCTAGTAGTAATGAACACCTAGCTGCCAGGTGATACTGCTGTGATGATTAAGGTTGTGTTAGCTTTTTTAAAGGTAACTGTTAAGAATGTAAAATCATTGAACAGAGCGTGCTTAATGAAAATTTTGTTCATCTTTAGAATGCCATTTATTTTTTGGCTAAAATACAGGTTTTGCCAGAAAATTTTTTTTAAAGATAACGAATATTTATTAAGCATGGACTATGGGCCAAGCACTGTGCCAAGTGCTATATATACATGCATTAGTATGGACATCATTCTTTTTTTATTATTATTAATTTTAATGAAAGTTTAGAGACTTAGGGTTTCGAGTCATTTCATATTTGCACTTTTCTCCCTGCCCACCCCCTCCCCACAGTTCACTCTTCTCCTTGAAAAGTAAAACTTTCAGTGTTATGCAATCCCTCCCCCCAAATCCACTCCACTATGCATCTTTCACTCTGGACTTCTGTAATGACAATAGTACCCATTCATATATCCCTTTTAAACAGTTCTCTCCCTCATCTGTTTCAATGCAGTATACATCATTCCTCCTTTCCTTTTCTGTCTTCCCTCAATCCTGTCAGTCCATTTTACAAGTGGCCCTATGCAATATTAGTCCTTTTTTGACTGTGATATTTCACTCAGTCATCCATTTTGCATATTTCATGAGTTCCTTGTTTTTCAGTGCTGCATAGTATTCCATTGTGTGAATATACCAGAGCTGCTCTATCCATTCGTTTGTTGATTGGCACTTGGGTTGTTTCCAGCTCTTTGCTATTGCTAATAAAGCCGCTATAAATATGGGTGTGCATATATCTGCTTGGGTGGCAGTTATGGTTTCTTTAGGGTAAATTTCCAGTAGTTGAATTGATAGGTCAAATGTTATTTGCAACTATTTGAGAAAGTGTCATACAGCCTTCCATAGTGGTTGTACTATTTTACACTCTCACCAACAGTGAATAAGGGTTCCGGTTTCTCCACAACCTCGCCATCATTTGATGTTTGCTGTTCTGTTAAATATTCTTAATGGAGTGAGATAATATCTCATACTTGTTTTGATCAGAAAAATATTTTTTATATTAGGTTAAAAAGTTAGAAGTGTTCTCTAAAGTGCTGAAAAGCAAAGTGTGCCTAATCAAGGCCATGGTCTTTGTGATTACTTGTTATGCTTCAGAGAGCTGGATAATGACTGAAAATGACAGAGGAGGAAATGATGCCTTCTAGTTGTGGTGCTGGAGAAGAGTATTGAACATACCATCAAATAGGTCTGTCTTGGAGAGGGTGAAACCAAGTTTTTCCTTGGAGACAAGGATTTTAAAACTCTTTCTCACATTCTTTGGGCACGTGGCCAGAAGGGACTGGTCCTTGGAGAAGGACATCATGCTCAAAAGGGTGGAGGGACAGTGCGGGAGAAGGAGACCCTGGATGAGATGGATTGATACAGTAACTGGGACAATGGGGGTAGCAGTGTCGGAGTCAGTAAAACTGGCTCAGAACAGGGCAGGCTTTAGAGAAAGCTGTACATAGGGTTGCAGGCAACTCGATGACATGTAACAACAACATCAAAATGTAATACAGCAGTTTACCTAAGAAATAAAAATTAAACTGAAATGTTCATGCTCTCTCTCTCTCTCGCGCGCTCTCTCTCTCTCTCTCTCTCTCTCACACACACACAGAGTTGGAATTAATAGCTGATCCTCCATTAAGTTCCTGAGGCTCTAAATCTCACGAGAGGCAAGACTGCCATTTGCCATTTGATCTACATGTGAATTCAAAATTCCAGAATAGTTCAGCCTGCAGCTTAGGCTGGTAGAACATTCCCCTTGAACTTTCTCAAGATTGACTAGTAACTGTGCAATACACAATACATAATACATGTAAATTTATAAAATAAAAAAAAAATAGAAGTGACAAAATTACATTAATTTTTCCCGTTTTGTTATTTTAGCTCCACAATGAAGAGGATAATTCGGAGTCATCTGCAGTAGAGCAGCCATCAACTTCAAACCCAACACCACAGATTGTCCAGACTGCTCCTGCAGCACCAGTGCTGGAAACGGACTCTTCTCCTCCGCCTTACAGTAGTATTACTGTGGAAGTACCTACAACTTCAGGTATTTTTAATCTTAATGTGAAACAGATTCTTAAGAAAGATTCTTACCAGTTCATTTTTATTAACCAGTATGGCTTTGTGTAAATGACAAATCTTGTAATGGACTTTTTGGGTTTTATTGTTTTGTTTTTCTTTTAAATGGTCCAGAATAAGAGGTATATTGAAAAGAGGACTGGGAGAAAGGGAGAAGGGGGTGAGGGAGGAAATTGTGCAACAGTGAATGAATATTTAAAAAAAGTAAGTAAACTAAGGAAGGGGGAGAAAGGATAATGTAGAACAATGAATGAATGAAAATCCAACTTTTCTGTAAGCTTTCATTAAAATCACAATTAAAATAAAAAAAAAATTTAAAACATTTCCCAAAGATACAATATTTTTTCCTACAGTACTTACCCTATGTTGTTTTTTTAAAATTGAAAGTATAGTTTTTAAGCATCATATGCTTATTAAAAACCTAGTCCAGATGTTAGTGAACACATACATGTTTCTATGCACATATATGTATGTTAATGGATATATAGCTACCAAGCCAAAGGGTCGCTATGAGTCACCTACGACTTCATGGCACTTTACAACAACACAGCATACAGAGAGATCAGTTGGCCTAGTGGACAGAAAGTGATGCTACCAAGCCAAAGGTGGGTGACTCTAATTCAAGACCCCCAGGCCTGTTTCTTAAATGAAGCATCCTTCTAAGTCATATAGCCCTGGTCTGTCCACTTGCTATACAGAAGTAACTAACTCATGGTTGCTGTGAAGCTGAGCACTGTGACACTGATATGTCAAATACAGTAACGGTTACCAATGGGTGGACAGTGTTTGTTGGAGCTCCCCATTTAAAACAAGCCTGGAAGCAGGAATGACATCCACTTCTGAAATAGCTTGCCTCTGGAAACCCTATGAACCTGGAGAAAGGATGGAAGTTAAACAAGCGTTCAGGTCTTTTGTTAATAGGGATCGCTGGACACTTAACTGTCACGGTCCAGTTCCAATTTATTCCAAAGTAACTTTGATGTAATTTTTCAATGATAGTTGCATTATTTAGAATCAAAAACAAGAAATTAATTATAAATCAATAATAAAACAGACCTCTTAAAAAAAAAATAGGGATCGCTATGAGTGCCATTCTCATAGTCTCTGTTGCTTTTTGTTATATTGTTGCAATCCCTTTGTTAGCTCACCTCATAGACAGTTTCCTTTCACTGATTCTCTGCTTTTCCAAGCATGCTGTTGAGGTTCTGCCCTCTCCTAATACATACCCAAAGTAGGTGAGATGAAGTCTCATCATCCTTATATTATTGATATGCTTGATGAAATGTTTAGTATCATATAAATGTTTATTATTCTCCTCTGTCATTTTCTGTTTTTAATTTTTGATTCTCAGATTATAGGCAAGTAAATTCTAACTTTCTACATCTTCATCCTTAATAGATGGATGAAAAGATTCATAATACCACAATAAAAGTAAAGAGTAGCTTTTGAACTTCTTGTGTGCAGCCAAACACCTCATGGGACTTGTTTCCATGGTGTGGAGTTTTATAGCATGGCTTCTTGGGACATCCCAGTTAATTGACCTAAAATGTGTCTATGTTCTGCATTCTAATAATGCTGCTATTCTACCTCCTCATTTATTGCATATTGTACTGTGTAGGTTTTAAACCCTCCAAGCAGCCATCTAAGGCATGACAGTTGGTTTGTATTAGCCTGGAGGAATAGTGTAAGAAAAAGTGTCAAAAATAGGAGGAGGATTTGGAATGTGTGCCCGGTTAGTACCAATTGTTTTCTTCTCTGTGAGTCAAGGACAAAGAAAGGGGGGAAAATAATACCAAGTTACCATTATAAAATACTTTGGTCAAAGAGTATACAAAAGATACTGAGGAAAATTAGAACAGAATTCCAAATTCTTAATGACTTCAGATTTTGTAGAGCCAAAGACATTGAATGAACACTTGAAACTCTTGCCTTGAAACAATCTTAAAATGTAAATAAATAGTGTTCTTCAAACACTGGGTTAGTTTAGTTAATGAAAAATGTCTGCCTTAAACATTATGATTTTTAAAGAACTATCCAAGTACTAACTCAGGAAGCTTAGGGCACAGTGAGTTTATGGGAGAACAGTTCCTTGGAAAAGGAGGGAGAGAGTGGATTGCACAACTGCAGTGTAATCAGTATCACAGACTTACACCTGCCACATTGAATTGGTAGGTATTTTACTGTGTGTATTTGCAACAACAACAAAATATACAAAATGGGTGACCCAGGAGGACATTATACTGCGTGAAATATCTCAGTCACCAAAGGACAAATACTGCATAATGCCATTGTTATAAAACAGGACTGACATGGGGTTTGGGGGAGAAACTAAGAGAGGATAGATAATGAACACTGCATTGGAACATATGAGGGAAAGAACTGTTTAAAAGGAACAAATGATCAGGTATTATTTGCATGACAACATTTCAGAAAAAGAGGTGCATAGCAAAATGGAATTGGGGGGAGGTAGGAAATTATTTAACAATGAATGATTTTTTTAAATTTTTTATTTTTTTTTAAATTTCAATGAACATCTACAGTGATTTTGGAATTCCATTCATTCATTGTTGCACTTTTCTTCCTGCCCACCCCACCCCCGAATGAATGATTTTAAAAAAATTTTATTTTAGTATTTTTTGTATATACCATCAAATCGGATCTGATTTGGTACAGTAGGAGCTTGCCGCTCCTTCTCCAGCAGAACATCTGGTGGATTTGAACCGCGTACCTCTGGTATTGCAGTGCAGCTTCTTGCCACTAGGCCACCAGAGCTCCCAGTGAATGAATTTTTTTAAAGAGAAGGAGAACTGGGAGGAAGAAGGGAGGAAAGTATGCAACAGTGAATGAAAGGAAGTCCAGGTTTCCTGTAAACTTTCATTAAAATTCACAATAAAAATTGTAAAAAAAGAAGAATGAAAGTTACATTCCTGTGGATAACATGAGAATAGGTAAGAGTATGCTCATGTTTTGGTTTTATCTTTCTTTTCTGAAACAACTTTTCAAAGTCTCATTCTGAAAGTTCTTGTTTAGTCTATCAGCCTTAGGGGATATTTGCAAGACTTAAGCCTTCCTAACATTGGACTAAAATAAAAATAACAAAGGATTATAATAGTAGTTAATATGCTCTAGTTCTGGTGGCCTAGTCCATAAAGGAGATGTACTACAGGGCCCCCTTTTGATTGTTTGACTCTACCAGTGGCTTTAAGGCTCCAAGAGGGAAAGATGGACATTGGTTTACTGCTGGAGAGTTCCAACTTGGCAGTGATGAGTTTGCGTTTAAATACTTGGAATCCTGTGGCTATGTAGCAGCAGTAATCTTCTGAAAATCATGCCCTTTATGATTATGCCCATAGTGAAATGATGCCAAGTGTTTTTAATGGGTATGTTATTTCTTTTTTCAGATACAGAAGTTTACAGTGAGTTTTATCCTGTGCCTCCTCCCTATAGTGTTGCTACCTCTCTTCCTACATATGATGAAGCTGAGAAGGCTAAAGCTGCTGCGATGGCAGCTGTGGCAGCAGAAACATCTCCAAGAGTAAGAATAAGAAAATGTAGCTACTTAGAGAATATTATTTTATAAATTGACATACGCTGCATTGTGCTATAAAAAGTTGGTGTCTATGTGTGAATGCATGTGAACACAGATTTTTTTTAAGTATTTTCCTCGTTATTACTGACATATGTGTTGTTCTGGTGAAATCAGCATTGTCCTAGTTAATCCCCCTTCACCTTTCTTTGATTTCCTTAACGCTGTTGATCTTCACTTCTGCTTCCACCACGTCTCAGCTTCTCATCATCTTAGACCTTATTGTTATTCCTGACTCTCTTATTAGATCAAAATGATACAAGATTATAATAGTAACTTAAACACTGTATCAATTCTGTGAAAACTAATCTCATATGAAAAAGGAGAATGACTGCAGCCTTGCATAACTGCTAAGCTCTCAGGAAATGTGACCCATCCAAATTAGCACTTAACTTTATTTTTTAAATTTTATTTGATACTAGTTTGCTTACAAAATTCGTATACATTGTTTTTCACATGGAATCTTTTCCATTTCCTTTACTCATCTCTCCCTCTGCCCATCAGATTGTCTGACCCTATGATTATCCCCTTGCCGTCCTCACCCCTCTGCTCCTACCCTCCCCTGCTTGGATCCTCATACCCATCTTACTGGTTATTTTCTTTTTCACAATAATGATCTTACACAGTCTTTGTCATTATGGGACTGAGTTAATTCACTTAGCATAACGCTCTCCAGTCTCTCCCAAGTTATGTAGTAATTTTTGAAATTATTGCTCCTGCATGCTGGATAGGATTCCACCACGTGAATGTTCGTTCCACAGTTTCTCAGTCCATTCTATTGTGGTTGGACATTTGGGCTGTTTCCATGTTCTTGAGATGGTGAATAACACTGCTATGAACACTGGTGTACAAATCTCTTAATTGTGTCTCATTTCTAATTTTCTCGGCATGTATTCCAAGCATCTATCTCAGCCAGTGTTGGTTACTGCCAGAAAAAAGTTCATTAATCTCATATAAACAGTTCTCATTCATGTGGGCCTTAAGGCAGTTGACATCTTCACTATCCATGTTTTCATTTTCATTTTTTAGGTTTCAAGGTCTGGCACTACAATCATAAATCATACTTTTATGTCCTTGTTTGTTTATCAGCATAAGCATTTTACTGACTCTGAATGAATTCTGTGGTCTGAAAATCACAGAGTAATAAAGTAATATTAAATTACAGGGCCTTCAGATGATTTTTGTCAGTTGATATTTTTTTTTAACATATCTTACCCTGGGAAATTAGAAGGTTAGTTAAGGATTCCCTCCACCCACCATTTCTCTTTTATTTTCTTGTCTCAATTATCAAGGCATACTTTTTCTCAAGATGATTAAACAGAAATTCCAAGCAAAAAAAAAAAAAAATAAAGTCACTGATACATATATGTATGTTATTTTCATTCTGATGAAAGGAGAGGCTATTTCAGCAGTGGAGGAAACCCTGGTGCCAGAACATTTAAACTCTTTGCTGCTACCTGAAAGGATGGCAGTTCAGACCCACCCAGTGACAGTGGGAGGCAAACCTGACCATCGGGTCTGGTAAAGATTATAGCTTAGGAAACCCTGTGGGGCATTTCTGCACCATCACACAGAGTCCCTGTGCGTCATGACACCCCCTCTCAATATCTTCCAGTGCAGAGTCAATGGGACATGTGTTTGCTCTTCTACAGTCAGGTAAAAGAGAAAAATAGCTTCATTTCATTGTGGTTTGTAAGCAGGATTAGAATTTACTATTTTTCCTTGCTTCAGAGTTTATAGATGTTATTGTAAATCTCTGAATTCGTTGCTATTTAATTAATGAAAAAGACACAAATTATCTGTATACAAAAAAGCTGTTACTAGGTGAGGAGGGAGGTATATGTCCTTATATTGCATGTTTCTTGCGTCGTGGTTAGATAATCTCAAACTGGATGAATTATTTCTGTCACTGCAACTCGTCATTCCTGCTTCCTGCTTATTCCCCCACAAAAAACACACATACCATCTCCCCATATGTGTGTTTACACACTCACACACAACACAGAATTACAGCTCAGCATTAGTGTAGGACACAATTTGAGTGTTTGATTATGTGTCATCATACCTGCCTCAATTTTTTTTTGTTTTTTTAAAAGCAAAGTAGTATGTTTAATATGTGAGCTCTGGTGGCCTAGTAGTAAGAAGTAGAGTTGCACCCCTAAAGGCACACGGTTCAAATCCAGCAGCTTCTCTGTGGTGGTGCACAGTCTCCTCCAGTGTGATTTACTGCCTCTGAAAAACTTCTAGAAGGTCAGCTGTGTATCACTTCTGACTTGCTAGCATACACAACAACAACAAAATGGATAAGAAGTTGTACTACCAATCCAAAAGCAGGCTCTTCAAATCCACCAGTTGATCCTTGAGATAAGGATGGAGAACAGTTTCTTCCCAAGTTCTTCACTACCTCTGAAAACTCACTGAAGGGTCAGCTATGAGTTGGTTCCAACTCAATGGCAGTGACTTTGAGTTTAGGGTTTGTTGGTTGGGTTTGGTTTTTTTTTTTGTTATATATAACTGTATCCTTTCTTCATACTGATTCAGTTTATATACTGAGCAGATCATTCAAGAAGCAGTCTTCTATAAAGAAGACTATAGTCATCAGAGGAAGACTCATCAACAACCTGTGTTATGCAGGTGATGTAACATTGCTTTCCAGAAAGTGATAAAACTTGAAGCACTTATTAAAGTAGATCAAGGACTAAAGCCTTTAATATGGATTATAGTTTAACACCAAGAAACAAAAATCCTGTAATAGCATCATGATAATTGGAGAAAAAGAGATTGACATTGTCATAATTAACACCCATGGTAGCCACAGTCAGAAAATCAAAAGATGTTTTTCAGTGGAGAAATCTGCTGTCAAAGACCTCTTTAAGTGCTAGAGTACAGATGTCAGTTGAAAGACTAAGGTGTGCTTGATCCAAGCCAGTGGTATTTTTAGTTGCTTTCTATGCATCTGAAAGTGTGACAGTGAATAATAAGGAAGACTAAGGAAGAAGTGATGCCTTTGAATTGTGGTGTTGGACAAGAATATTGAATAGCCCGTGGACTGCTGAAAGAACAAACAAATCTGTCCTGGAGGAAGGGCAGCTGGGGTGTTTTTAGATGGTGAAACTTTGTCTCACATCTTTGTGCATGGTGTCAGGAGGCACCATTCCTTAGCAAAAGGCATCATGCTGAGAAAGATGCAGGGTGAGAGAGAGAGAGGAAGACCTCAGCAAGAGGAATTGACATAATGACTACAGCAGTGGGCTTCTGCATAGTTCAGATCTGATGTTAATATAAGTAAGAGTTGTAGTTGACCTAACAACAACAGCAGTATATATAGTTGCAAACAAGTCTCAAAACGGAATGAGTGGAAACCTTTTAAATCTCAATAGGAAAATGTTTGATGATGAAATGGTACTATTTTGTATTATTCATATTTCAGATGTGTATGTTGCATCTTAATGTCAGAAAAACAAATATTCTTACCACTGGACCGATAGGAAGTGTCATGGATAGAGAAGAGATTGAAACTGTCAACAGCTTTATCTTTCTTGGATCCAAAATTAATATTCTTGGTACGAGCAGTCAGGAAATAAGGACACGCATTGCATTGGGAAAATTCTGCAGTTAGGGAGCTTTCCAAATTATTGAGGAGTAGTGATGTCAGTTTGAAGACTAAGGTGCATCTGATTCTCATTCACACCATAGTCTTTCTGATCACTTGCTGTGTGCCTGGGAGGTGGACACTGAATAAGGATTACAGGAAAAGAATTGATGCCTTTGAGTGTGGTATTGGAGAAGAACATTGAAACATCCCATGGATGGCCAAGAGGACAAACTGCTGTGTCCTGGAGAGGGTGCAGCAGGAGTGTTCTTTGGAGGCAAGAATGATGAAGCTTTCCCTCACATTCTTTGGACATGTTGCTAGGAGATGCTTTTCCTTGGAGAAGGACTTGATGCTGGAAAAAGTGGAGGGTTGGTGAAGGACAAGATGACCCTCAACCAAGTGGACTGAAACAGTGACTGCTGCAATGGGCTCTTGTGGGTTAGGAAGTGTGAGGAGGGTGCAGGATAGAATAAAGTTCAGATTTTTTGTTCATAGGGTTGCTATGAGTTGTATTCGACGGCACCTAACAACAACAAATGAGATAGATGTTTGCCTATATCTTACAGAATGATTAAATTGGTTTGTAGAAAGGAACTTATTCTTTTTAATATTTCTGTGAAAAATATTTAAATTAATATAATTTGCTATAAAACTTTTAGAATATGACTTATCAGTTACTTAATTTCCTATTTTTACTTGCTCCTGATTTTTGTCTTAACTTCAGCTTCTAATTTTTGTTTTAACCATTACTTTATTCTTTTAATAATTTCTTTTTGCCGTATTAAATAACATTTAATAAAGAGTAAGAGGCAACTTCAGGATAGGGACCTTATGTTTACATTTTCAGTATTTGGCTGTTGCTTTAGTGCATATTTGATATTTAATATTTAATTAACATGTCAGTTCACAAGTGGTTATTACTGAAGGAGAAAATATAGCTTCTAGTACAGCTGTCCATTTAAAACTTTTTTTGGGTGGTTCCTGTCACCTATTGAAAGATGTATAAAACAATGTTTTAACAGAGGTGAAATTGTTGCATAAATACCAACTTTTATTTTTTAAACATTTTATATGAAAATTTTTGTTATTTGAGTGTTTAGGTAAAATTTATCTATAGTTAGTAGTTATTCCTCTATAGTTAACAGGTTATTGTCAGGTATATTTGTGTGTGATGTTAAATAATGCTGCAAATTATATCTTTATGTGTATGTCTTTTAATAATCATTGGCTTTTGTTAAACTTTTTGTACTAGTATTTCAGAAGAGTATAAAATGTTTATATTTGTAACATCATATAGACAATGGTTTTGTTCATAATGTACTTTAAAGTTTATATCTAGAATGAATTTGAAAGT